TTTCACTCTGGCTGCTTGCTCACGCCACTTGATAGCGTATTCACGGAAACTTTCCGCAGTTTTCTTCTTGAAATTGGTCAGGGAATTCCTATCTGGAGCTATATCAACATTGTATTGAAATTTCGTGACAAAATCTCGGGCTAAGTCGTCCTAAATATGCCAATGGAATATGTCCTGGTCCATGTACCATTCTGACGCAATTCCCGTCAAGATCTCCCTAAAATAGGCCATCAAAAGTTCTTCTTTTCCACCCGCCCCTATCAGTTGATTGCAATATCTTTTCAAATGAGCGATCGTGTCTCCGTGCCCATCGTACTTTTCGAATTTTGGCATTTTAAAGCCAACGGGCAAATGAACATGAGGAAACATACATAGATCGAAGTACGAGACACTCTTTTGGCCACTCAGGCCTTGCATGTTCTGAAGACTTTGTTCGGGACTTTTCATCTCCCGAGCCATTTTTTCCTGCTCGGGGTTTCTTTCCGTTCTTTCCTGTTCTACTGGAGACTCGTATTGCGGGTGCTGAGGGTAGGGGTTTAGGATGACATGAGCTGTGTCTAGCTAAAATTGTGGTACTTGAAAAGTGAAAGCTGATGGTTCGAAGCATGGCCTAGGCACTGTTGGAAGTGCCGTAGTAGAGACTGGTGGTGCGATGAATACTGTAGAAGATACTCCCGAAAACAGTGCCTGGGGGCAAACCTCAGAAGGCATATCGGTGAAATTAGCTAATATAGTGGGGTACCCAAACAGGATGAATGGGTTGGTTACGGGAATGGGGACGTTGGAGGTTCCGCTTGTCCTGGGAAGCAGTTCAGGAAACCCGGGGATTATACTGGGCAGTTCTTTGCCATTAGACCAAACGTCCCACATCTCTAACATACGGCAACGCAACCTTCTGTTTTCTTCAGCAGTTGCTGATTCTGACTGTGGGATAACCGATGCCAGGCTATCCTCAGAAGGATCAATAATTGGTAGATGACTTTCGGAGGCCATAGGAACACTGCCTTTGGATCTTGTGAAGTAAGGATGGGAAGCCAGATTACCAACAAAACCAACCACCAAACAGGACCTGTCTAAACTTGCACACACAACAACCTTGTCAGTTTGAGACATTTGACAGATAGAGAATCACATATTGGAGATGCAATGCACCTGAACAGTTAAACGTTTCTAAATATTTTGCAACGGCTATGTGTTTCATCCCAGCTTTGCTATCTCTTTTCTCAAATTTCAAATCCTGATTTCTTTTCTCTTCTCTTTGCTGTTTTCCGCACTTTTATTTCTTCACTCTTTTCTTTCTTTTTCACTCAATTTTTCCTTTTTCTTTCTCTCTCCTTTTTCACTCATTTTCAGTTTATTTTTCACTCAGATTGTCTATAGTTATGATCGAATCCGATGGGCATTGTCTACGTATCATGACGCCGCATGAATCAGATTATTACGTAGTTCAGAAAATAAATACAGAATAAAAGAAAAGAAAATTTTGCATTTTTCAATATTTCATTAAATAAAATCTTTTTGGGTTTTTCAATTACAAAGACTTTGGAAATATTGACGATTAAACATACAGACTCAAAACAGAAAAACAAACAGACTTGGAAAAGATAAACAGACTCGAAAAGGTAAAATACAGACTCAAAGCCAAAAATAAATAAATAAAAAAAAAATCAAGAATACATAAGAGCCTCCAATACTATTCCGGGGGCCCGCGAGACATCAGTCGGTCTCGACGCGGGCCTGCGTACAATCTCTTCTTAAAGGTACTCTAAATCAGCCATCACGTGACGGACAAAGGTCATCATAGAAGCAAAGAACATGGACCTGGTCATATCTTCGCATTCATGGCACTTCATTGCGACGTAATCATCGATTTCTTTAATCCTCATTCTAATGACACCCTTTTCTTGGAGCAAGCATCCAATTTGCTGAGATCAGGCCTCCAACACCTGCGTGACCATATGGTTTTGACCTTGCAATTGTTGTATGTCTTCTTCCAATCGGGCAATCAATGTATAGCAATGCTCTCTTTCTGCTTTGAAATCCTTTATCTGTTGGAACATTTTATTTTCGAGATTAGTCAGCTTTTCCCTTAAGATCGCGACCCCTCTATCATACTTTTACTTTAACTGCTGAACACACCTTGTCCGTTCTTCTGCATTTTTTGCTAGTTTTGCCCGAGCTCTTGCCAATTCTTCCTCAGCCTTTGTCAGATTAGCCCCATAATTACACACTTTTCGCCTAAGACTGCTTATGAGTCTTTCATCCTTTTTGCTTCTTCCCGGGTTTTCAGCGGCTATTTTTATTTTCTGAATCTCAGCTCGGAGGGCTTCATTTTCCTGAGCCAACTTTTTCTTTTCCCCTTCATCCACAACGGCCTGCAAACTACTATCAAATTTGATATTTCTGATTTGATATTCTAGTTTGCTTATGGTAGTCCGATAGTCATTCTCTTTGGCTAACCAAGCCCATTGTTCTTGCGATGCGTCGACAAATTCTTGGATATGAGGCCTTTTAGTCTGCCTGTCAGATTCATCATTCGTCACGACTCTCTTTCCATACCAAGCAAGATAACCCGGTAAAACCTCGCCCTTGGACAAATCGCTTACTCGGGTGTTTGCCCCCAAATACTGGCATTCGTTCCAAATATGGCGAACCACTTCTTCAGGAAATTGAGCCTCGGAGCAGATTTCAACCACATGAGTACTAAGATCTTCATCTCTAGGAACTGTTTGGCATCTTCCAAGTTGTCTCAACACCCGATACGGGGCATAGGGCTGGATGCTTCGGAGACCCATTAGAAGGAAGCAAGGACCGGTGGCGGGCATATAAACAATCTTATCAACGGGAATCTAACCTAATGTCCACTCTATCTGATCCTATACCTGTTAATCGGGTCGGGCTGACCCGTTTACAACCCGGTTCAGCCCGGGTCAGCCCGGTACTGTAGCGTGGGGGGCAGGCTGGGACGGGTTGGGCGGGGAGCGGGTTTCAAACATACAGTTTTTTGATACCGGTGCACCGAAACCTGCTAATTAACGGGCTTCAGCCCGGTTCAGCCCATTTTTTAACGGTTTTTTTAATTATTTATTTTGGACCGTTGCCAATGGTCAAAATCAAATATTGTAAATTATCCTACTATTGCAAATGGTTTAGTTCATATTGCTGAAATTTTTCTTTTACTACATAATTTGAAGAAGAAAGAAGGATATACTTCTGTTGTTGAATCTATGCTAGATAAGTTTAAAAAATATTTCTACCCAATTCCCCCTATTTACCTAATTGGTGCTATTTTAAACCCTTCTATCAAAATGGCCACTTGTCGCCAATTAATCACTGCATTATATTCTTATATGGATATTGGACCATCTGAAACTCCTGATATTGACACTTGTATTTCTGATCTACACAAATATTTAGAAATATTATATAATTATTATGCTAACATTGTTGATGCTTCTTCTGCTGTAGATGCAAATATTCCTTCAAGTTCAGTTTCAACATCTGGGACCAGTGCTTTGGATGATAATGATGGTGTTGGAGATTACTTGATTTGGTCTACACTAGGGGAGCATCAACAAACCAGTAGCAGGAATATTGATGAACTTTAATTCTACTTGCAAAAGTCAGCAGAGCCCTGCACAAAGAACTTTCTACCACTGGGTTGGTGGAGGAGCAACTCAAATCAATTTTCTGTTCTTTCGGCCATGGCTCGAGACGTGCTAAATGTGCCGATTTCAACAGTCGCATCATAGAGCGCATTTAGCCAAGCAAGGCAGCAACTAGGAGATACCCGTCATTCACTGGGCAACAACGCTTTGGAAATTCTAGTGTGCTTCAAAGATTGGATAAGATCAGAATGGCAAAATCAAAGGCATGACGAGGTATATGAAGCGAAGGACCAAGAAATTAGAGATATAATGGTTTATGGTTCTGATTCAACCAATGTCGGAAACCAAGAACATCATGTTGACATGGATGAACTTACAAAAATAATGCAAAGTATGTGATGTACTATTTTTATTTTTATTTTTTATAATTGTTGTAAACTTTTAATTTGCAAGTTCAAAAATAACAAAATCAAAAAAGAACTTGCAATTTAATTTGAAGTATTATATATTATTCAATAAAAATATCAAATGAAAGTCTTCGGAGCTTGATCTTTACATATCGCCTATTGGTCTTACTAAATAATTTTTTGTAACCACTTACTTTCAAATTTTAATTTTAAAATTATAAAATTCAAATTTTAAAGTTTAATTCTAAGCCTTAAAAGTTTGAAAACACTTAAGTATCAATAACATGGAATATGAAAAATAAAATTTACTTAAAAAAAAAAATTGCACGGCCCGGTCTAGCCCAAACATGGACGGACAAAAAAAACCCCAAAAAAGTACAGCCCGCTAACTCAGCCCGCAACGTTAAACAGACGGGCTGGTTTTTTTGTGTTCAGCCCATCCCAGCCCGCCTGTTAAACACCCATATCTGATCCGCAGTTATAGAACGAAGGCGGAATATCCAATCTTTGACCCCTTCCGGCATTTCGAACCCTGTTACTCGTGTACTAAACTCTTCGATGCTTTTTTTTTTCCGTAGACCCATAGTTCATGTATCGGGGACGGTAACAAAGGTGATCGATCATCCACATTTGCAATAACAGATTGCACCCTTCAAAAAACCTGACTTCGGCCTTACAAGATGTGAGAGTTCGGAATATATCTGATACGATCATGGGCGCGAGGGTACTCTTGGCCTGGGTAGTCAAAACATGGACAACTTTCGCTACACGCAAATCAATGCACCTGTCCTCCCTCGGGAACACTAAAAGGCCTAAAAATGCAACCATGAAGGCAAAGCATCTATGTGTTTCCCACTTTGACCGGTTTCCCTTACTGCAGAGTCCATTTTCTGGGTCTTCAAATCCTCTTAAGTGCTCGTACCGCTGGTATAGAAAGTGAAAAGTGGAAGCTCCACATACTAGACTTTCAGTCTTGATCTGCCTGTTTATTTTCAGTAGGTCTAGAAACTTGTGGGGAGTAACAGTCCTTGGAGATATCATATACTTGTGCCTTAATCCCTCCGTATTCTCGGTATAACCCGCAATTTGTTCCAAGGTAGGTGTAAGCTCAAAATCTGAGAAATACAAAACATTGTGAGCGGGATCCCAGAACGAAACCAGTGCCTCTATCAAATCCCTTCTAGGTTGAATTTTTAATAGTTTAGTGAGTGCCTCTAGATATCAGTTGACCTTGTCTTGCCCTTGTTTTCCCAAGTCTTCCCACCACATGTGGATTGCTAGTGGAATCTGATCCATAACCTTCACCGGTAAATTCTGAACAGTGCTCATTCTGCACATTTTTAAATTAGGGTGACTGGGTTAAAACATGTGAGTTTTGTTTGAAAACTGATCAGAAAAGATTATTTTTGCAAAATTCAATTTAAAACAAATCACGGCTACTTTTGCAGATACGACCCTTTAGCACTTCAGAAGGGAAGATTTTAGGGCTGTGTTTGCTAAGTGGACAAACAATAGAAAAAGGACTATAGGCGACTATTCTTGCAAAACGGTCTTCTGGCGTCCGGTCGGGACATTTTTGGCTATTTGGGCAAAAACGGAATCACCTAACTTATTTATGACAAAATGACAACATTTCATATTTTTGGTTATTTTTTGCAAAAAAGCGGGGCTGGACCCGATGAAGGTTGCCTACGTATCCCACATCCGGTGAGAATCAAACCCACGTAGTTCGGTAAGTTTTGACGCAATAGGAAAATATGACTTATTTAGAAATAACTTATTCTTTTTTTAAAAAAGAATTTGGCAGAGTTTCGGGATATTTTGAATACCGGGGTTTTCAGAAACGGGTGACTTTCTCTCTCCTACCTCAATCTTGGTTTTTCTTGATTTTTCCTCCCTATTCTAAAAGCCAGTCAACATGCAAGCCGAAGCAAATAAATGCACAAGTAGTACGTAAAATGCATCAGGATGGTCTTTTTATTTCGGGTACACCTGTCCTAGACGGACCCAACTCTTGTGTTGAGTCCCCAAGTTCAAATGCACATGATGCAAACAAGCGTTCCTACTAGGGATCCGGCATGAGGCTATGTTATTCTAAGTTTAAAACCTGGGTGTATTGTTCTAGACTTGACTAACCCGAGCGGACAACTCGAGCCG